CTCCCTCCCCGTCCAACGAGGGTGGTGCCCACAGGACCGGAGACCACTACGAGTGGAACAAGGTGACCACGTGCATCCACAACGTGCTGAGCGGGCCCCGCTGGATCGAGCACTACGGGGAGGTGCTGATCCGCAACACCCGCGACGCCTCCTACCACTGCAAGCTCACCTTCTGCAAGGTGTGGCCCCCCTACCCCTTCGCCCCTCGGGCCCCGCCCTCCCACCTGCCCTGGCTCCACCTCTCTGCACTGAAATGGCCTGGCCCCGCCCCTTCACCTACTAATTAATATTAATTGTGTCATTGCTCCACCCTTTTCCTGGCCCTGCCCCTGCTTATGGCCCTACCCTTTCCCGATAGCTCTTCTCCCTCCTAGTAGCCCCACCCCCTTAGTGCCACACCCTTTTATGACCCCTCCCCATCACTCGTGGCCACACCCTTTCCCAATAGCCCCCCCCCCTTTCCCCCCCCCCCCCCCCCGGCCCCCTGCCCACCTCCCGGTGGCCGCAGGCCCGGTACTGGGGCGCGGGGGCCAACGAGGTGCAGGGGGCCGTGCTGAGCCGCAGCGGGACCACCGTGGAGCGCCTGGCTGGGAAATGGCACGAGGGGCTGCACCGCGGGCCCGCCCCGGGCCAGTGCATCTGGAAAGCCAGTAAGGACCACCCTGGGGGGCGGGGGGGGGGGGTTGGTTACCCCACGCCAGGGGGTGGTCTCAGCGCCGTCCCCCACTCCCGCACAGACCCCATGCCCCGTGACCACGAGAGGAATTACGGCTTCACCCAGTTCGCCCTGGAGCTGAACGAGCTGACGCCGGAGCTGCGCAGGGTCCTGCCCTCCACGGACACGCGGCTGCGCCCCGACCAGCGGTGAGTGGGCCCTCCCGGCGCCGGGAGCGGGGCAGGGGGGGACGCTGTGAGGCCACCCAGCTGCTCACAGCCCCATCCTGCCCCCCTGCAGGTACCTGGAGGAGGGGAACATCCCGGCGGCCGAGGCGCAGAAGCGGCAGATCGAGCAGCTGCAGCGGGACCGGCGCCGCGTCATGGAGGAGAACAACATCACCCACCAGGCGCGCTTCTTCAGGTCTGCCTCGGGGCAGGGGGCTGGGAAACCCATGGGTGAGGGGCTCTCAGGGAATGGGCAGACCCCCTGGCAGTGCTGAGGGCACCCTGTGGCTGGGAGGAGTGCAGAGCTCTTATGGGGTGAGGAGGCTCCTTTTGGGATCCTGAGGACACCCCATGGCTCAGTGGGATGCAGGGCTCGTAGGGAACTGGGAGAACCTCTAGGAATGCTGAGGGCACCCCATAGCTCAGGGGGTCTCAGGAAATGGATAAAACTCCCCCTGGAAATCCCAAGGCCACCCCAAACACGCCCCCTGCCCCCCTCCCCAGGCGGGTAACAGATGCCAGTGGCAAGGAGTCGTGGGTCACCAACAACACCTACTGGAAGCTGCGCCTGGACCCCGGCTTTGCCCACCTGGACAGCGCAGTGCTCTGGTAGCGACCCCCCTCGGGGCTCTGAGACCCCCCAGCTCATCACAGCAGTGGTGCCCAGCAGTGGGGCTGGTCCCCCCAGCACTGGGGGGGGAGCAGTGTCCCCCCCCCGCCCTCTCCGAGCCATTTTGCTGGTGTTTAAATAAAACTGTGATACAAAAGGGGGGGGGGGCAATTCCCCCTCCCCCTCCCCCTGACCTGGGGCAGAGCCTTGGGGACAGCTGGGGCACTTTGGGGCAGGGGCTGGCAGTGTCCCCCTGCCCTGGCAGCACAAGATGCCTGGGGGAGGGGGGAAATGAGGGGCACCCGCAGGCGGGAAGACCCCTCTGGCCCTCCCTACCCCAAACTGTTCCCAGGGGCTGCTCTAATAAAGGCTGTGAAGAGTTGGGGTGTGCAGAGAGCTTCCTTCCCCCCCTCCCCCCACCCCGAAACACCCCTGGGGCTCAGGACCCCCCTACCATCCCAGGATGGGGGAGGGCACCCTTAGCCCCCCCTTCCCGTGCCTCAGTTTCTCTCCCCCCCCCACAGACACAGAGCTGAGCAGCGTCCCCACAGTGCCCCCTTTATTGCGATATGCTGCTGCCCCCCCGCCCCACGCTGGGCACGGGGGGGGGCTCAATAAATACTTCAGCATTAACCCCCCCCAACCCTCCCGCCCTTAAAAACCACC